GGGTGACCACAGTCCCTGCACTTGGGCCCCCAGTATATATATATATTTTTTTTCTTTTTTTTGGTATGAGGGATCAAACTCAGGACCTTGTGCTTACAAGGCAGGCTCAGTGCCACTGAGCTAAATCCCTGCCCTCCAGTGTATTTCTGATGCAGCAGCCAGAGTGAGTTTTTTCATTTTTAATAACAGCTTTTGCTGGGTGTGCTGGTGCACAACTGTAACCTCAGCACATGGGAGGCTGAGGCAGGAGAATCACCACAAATTCAAGGTCAGCTTGGGCTACAGAGCCAGACCCTGACCCAAAAAACAAACAAACAGATAAAACAAAACCAAAAGATAATTTTATTGAGATATAAAATCCAGCCATTTAAAGTCCGCAAAGCGATGGCTTTAGTATATTTATAGACACGCTGCCATCATTGTGATCAGATTGAACACTTTCACCGCCCAGACAAGAAACCGTGCCCTTTATCAGGCACTCCAGATCTCCTCTGCTGAATGCTCAGGCGGAGGCAACCAGAATGCTTTCCAAATATTAAGTCATGGCCAGGTGTGGTGGCACAGGCCTGTCATCCCAGCACTTGGGAGACTGAGGCAGGAGGATCGCCAGCCTGAGCTACATAGAAAGACTCTGCTTCAAAGAAAAGAAACTCAAATATTATGTCAGAGGAGTTCACTGTCCCTCTGTCAGAACTCGGAATGCTCAGGGTGTCTTTTTATTCCCAATAAAAACCTGAAAGTTCTCAGACAGTTTTTTGTTTTGTTTTGTTTTGGTGACAGGGTCTTGCTATGTAGCCCAGGCTGGCCTCAAACTTGCAGCAACTCTCCTGCCTCAGCCTCCTGAGTACTGGGATGACAGGCATGTGTCACCACTCTTGGCTGTATTTTTAATTTTGAGACAGAGTCTAAGTAACTCAGGCTGTTCTTGAACTTGAGATCCTCCTGCCTCAGCGTCCTGAGTATTATAGGCATGCTGTACTGTGCCTGGCTGGGCCATTGCCCATTTTAAGTAGGTGTTCAGGGAAGGCCTTGTTTAGAAGGGTGGCATCCGAAAGCCATCTCAGAAATAATGATAATAAAGAGCTGAGGATGTAGCTCAATGGCGAACACAAGGCCCTGTGTTCAACCCACAGTACTGGGGGGAAAAGCCCACCTCTGCACTCTGGTCTGGGACCCCCCTCCATGAACTCCCCACAGCACTTGCTCTCTTCCAGTATAACCCAAATTAGTGATGTATGATGTCTGTCTCCCCAGCTAGAACAGAGCGGAAATACTTGGGGCTTAGAGACCTATCCCGTTCCTGGCCTGCGTGGGGCTGGAGCTCCACCCTGTCTGGGCCGCCTCTGCAGTGGGTGGGCGTGAGTTCTCTCTGGAGCTCTTTGCTTCCAAGCCTGAAGTCCTTTTATTTTTTTTTTTTAATTTTTAAAAAATTTTTGAGACAGGGTCTCACTATGTACTTCAGGCTGGCCTCAAACTCATGGAGATGCTCCTGCCTCAGCTTCCCGAGTGCTGGAATCACAGGCAACTGCTGCCATGCCTGCCAAGCCACAAGTTCTTTCCCTCAAGTCATTTTATCTTATGTAGCTTCCTCCCCAAGTTCTCTCTGTCAACTAAGGTGACCTTGGGCTGACCGAGGTGGTGCTGGAGAATTTCACCACAATTCAGAGATCTTTCCCTCTTCCTGCAGAAAAGCCTGGGTCTGCTTGGCAAGCTGTGGCCCCCATGCCATTGCTTCCCTCTGTGGGACGGGGGCAGGAGGTGGCTGGGCCAGGAGCCAGTGACCTCCCCTCCGGGGACACAGCAACACAGGGTCAGCACACAGAGCACCCGGGCCCTGTGCGTCCCCAGGGGGCACAAGCTCTTCCTTGTCCTTTTTTTTGGCATTACTGGGGATTGAACCCAGAGCCTTTGGACTGAGCTTTCTTTTTTTTCTTTCTCTCTTTCTCTTCCTTTCTTTTTCTTTCTTTCTTTCTTTCTTTCTTTTTCTCTTTTTCTCCTTCCTTCCTTCCTTCCTTTCTTCCTCCCATCCATCCATCCATCCATCTGTCCATTTATAATTCTGAGGCAGGGTCTCACTAACCTGTCCAGGCAGGACCCTTGGCGCTCCTCCTGTCTCAGCCTCCCAAAGTGCTGGGGTTATGGGTGTGGACCATCATGCCCTCCAGAAGCTTTCTGAAAGTGGGTACCTGGGGTTCTTTGTGACTCCATTAGGAAAGATAGAGTTAGACAGTAGGAGGGGCTGCCTAAGAGTGGAGGAACCTGTACCACCTGCCCTGCAAGCACAAGGACCTGAGTTCGATCCCCGGTACAAAAAAAAGTGGAGAAACCAAGTAAAGGGATGAGGGTCTTCTCTTCAGGACTTAGAGAACCAAACACCGCCCCCTCCTGAACGTCTTCCTGCCGGCTCCCAGCAGTTAGCAGCAGGTGCTAACAGGACCTCCAACCCCACTTCCCTTCTCTCCCCCTCAGGCCCTTCCCTGCCTCCCTCAGGGCCCTTTTGCTGGGTTAAAACAGAAAAACGGGTCCATATACAAAACAGGAGATTTGTTTGTTTTTGAGACAGCATCTCCATATAGTTCAGGCTGACCTTGCGCTCAGGCGGTCCTCCTGCCTCAGCCTCCCGAGTGCTGGTATGACAGATGTGTGTGCCCCACCATGCCTGGCCCTCTCAGGGAGCATTGGCCAGGTCAGGAGGGCAGAGCTGAACCTAGGTGCAGGGGTGCAGGGTCCAGCCCTCCAAACCTCAGCCCTCTTATCTGCTAAATGGGTGTGTGTGTGGGTGTGAGACAGGGTCTGGCTCTGTAGTTCAGACTAGCCTTGAAGTCACTGATGTAGCCCTGGCTGGTCTCAAACTTGCAGTAATTCTCCTGCTCCGCCTGGTGAGTGGTGAGATCACAGGTGTGTTCCACCACGCCTGGCAACTTTCACCCAGACCAGGACTGAGGCTTCCTTCTGCCTTCCCATCTCCGGTCTCACCCTGCTCCAATCTGACCTCTCTGCCCTGCCAACATTCTTCCTATAAAGCAGCGGACAGCTGAAAATTCCTCCCAGGTCCCCTGATGTCTTTGAGGACACAGCGGGCTCTGGCGTCAGGTCTGGGCCTGCAGTTTGGCTCTGACTCTGTCTCTTTGAGCCAAGTTAATGTGCATGTTCTAGCCTCAGGTGACTCACCTGAAAATGGGGCAACAGAGCTTATCGCTACAAAGTATAAGGGACCAAGAGAAAGCCTTTGGCCTGGGGAGAGGCTGGCTGTGCCTATCATTATTTGCGGTGCTGGGGATCAAACCTGGGGCCTGGCACGTGCTGGGTGACATTCTACCGCAGAGATGCATCCTAGCCCAGCGCCTGCTGTCGGACAGCGGATGAAGCTGTAGCCTGAACACAGGAGGCAGGCACAGGAAGGACTTCGCAGCTTTCCTGCAAGCTTGTCCTCTGCCATCCTCCACAGGAGCAGCGCGACACCCGTCAACAGTGTTACTCACCGCCCGCGTGCTGAGGCTTCTTCCTGTGACCTTGCTCACGCTGTTCTTGCTCCCAGCATGCTCTTGCCCACCTGGCAGACTCCTGCTCATCAGTCAGGTCTTTGTGCCGATCTCCCGCCCACCACGGCCTTGGGCCCAGGCTGTCTGGGCTGGAGCTCCCATTGTGCCATGAGTCCCAGCTTCCTCTCCTCATCCGGAAACTGGGTGTGATGACAGCACTTTCTGAGCAGGCTGCTGGAAGGTGCATCAAGGTTACCATGCGGAAAGACTCGGCTCCCCCTCTGGCCATGAGTGGATGCCTGGGAAGGGTCAGCAGCTGGAATTACCCCTCCGGCCTCTCTCGCCTTTCAGGGCAGGGTTCCGTCTACACCGCTGTCTCTCCACCAGGCTGTGCAGTCTGGGGGTCAGGGAAAAGGCCGGCACAGAGTAAACACTTGGTCCTTCTACTGGACAGACATGAATGCTGTCTTTATTTTTTAAATTAATTTATTTGTTTGGTTAATTTTTTTGTTTTTTGGTACTGGGGATCAAACTCAGGTCCTTTGCACTTGTGTAGCAGGTGGTGAAACTACTGAACTAAATCCCCGGCCCAATTCATTTATTGTTTAGAGACAGGGTCTCACAATGTAGTTCAGGCCGGCCTTGAACTCACTATATAGCCCAGGCTGGCCTCACATTCCCAGCGATCCACCTGCCTCGGCCTCCCCAATGCTGGGGTTATAGGCCTGCACAACCATGCCTGGCCAGGAGCCTTTCGATTTTACAGATGAGGAAACTGAGGCACAGAGGTTGATGCCTCAGGGCTCTAGTGAGCAGAGCCACAGCCCTCTTGGCCCAGCTGACTCTGACAACTCCTCCTGGCCTCAGTTTCCTTGGTATGCAATGGGGCGGCAGTGATCTCCCCACCCCTCAGGTATGGCACGTGGACTGGTGTGTGTAAACGTGACAGAAGTCGAGCCTGGGCTTGTGCCCCGTGAACTGGGTGATGCTTTGTTGGAGACAGAAACAGCTCCTCCTTCCGGGTGAGAATGAAGAGTAGCTGTGATGCCAATGGCCGGGTGCCCCCCTCAGCCCTCTCCATAGGGTCGGTGCGGTCGGGGGCCAGCACGGCCCCCTTTCCTGGAGGCAGCTGCCCTCCCCTCTCCCACAGGCTGGGAGCCAACGGTGTGGGGGGGCCTCTGGGGTTCAGGCCACTGCACCTCCCGGGCTGGGGCTGGGGACTCGGGGACCTGCGAGGAGTGGAGGAAGCTGGAGGAAGGGGGCCCAGGAAGTCAGAGCCCAAAACCAGCTTTGGGGAGCGTTTCCTCCAAATGTAGATTTGAGCTCCTATTAAACTTGCCAAAAATTTGTGTTAGCTAATGGATTCTTAATTCTGTCTAAAATGAGAGAGGGAAAATTATGCCATTCATCTTGTATTGGTTTGAAATTACATCTGACACCTAATCGATCATACTGTGGAACATTAACTCTTTGGAAGAGACCCAACTTTCCCTCTCTCCCTCGCTTTCCAGGGCTTTGGAGCCGCCCCCCAGCCCTGGTTCCTCCTTTGTATTTCATTAACTAAGCAAAGCTTGGGCTGTCTCTGGGGTGAGGGGTGGTGTGGGGGAAGGGTTCCTGCGGGTGGGGGGAGACAGCCAGGCCCCCCAATCCCTGGACCATAACCTGAGCCCTACTTCCAACCTTCAAGTGACCTCTCCTGTCCTGCTTTCCCCAAATGTTCAGAGATGTGGAGGCACAGAAAGCAGGCTCTGGGGTGTGGGTGACCTCAGAGCCACCTTGGGAGCACCAGGCAGGGGCCATGGCGGGGCCTCACCTGCGACTTGCCTGGCAGATGGGTGAGGAGGGAAGGGCAGATGACAATAGATTCTCTGTGGGGATCGGACAGCTCTGACTGAAACCCCAACTCCAGACCTGCTCTCTGGCAGCGGGGAGAACCCACTGAGGCCGCCAGCCTGGGCTGGGATCCTGGCTTCGGTCCTGACAAGGCCCTGTGTGACCTTGGCCAAGCCACACAACGCCTGAGTCTCAGCTTCCTCCTCTGTCAGAGTGGAAGGATAGCTCCAGGTTCGCGCCTGGGGTGGGGACAGAGCGCCATAGTCTAGGTCAAAGTGGACAGAGCCCACGCCCGGCACAATGCACGGTAGGCCCCCAGGACAAAGGTGACAAGGAGAGTTGGGATCTGTACCCTCCCCACGCTTCTGCCTCCCATTCCCCACCCCTGTGGCCAGGGCTTCCTCAGAGCGGCGGCTGTTTCTGCATGGGGAGCTCTCAATCAACCTCTGCCCTGCCCACAAGGGGGGGGACTCCTGCGGAAGGGGTCTCTAGGTGGTAAGATCAGGGAGAGGGCTTGCACTTGGGCATCTCTGACTCCGTCTGGGGAGTCCAAAGTCCCCCAACCCCTATTTTTAGTATCTCATTAAAAAATTTATTATTCCATGCCTGCAGTACACCACGATTACATTCCTTGTGAGGAGTTGGTACATGCACAGAACACATCTCTATTATTATTATCTTTTCTGGCACCTGGGTTTGAACTCAGGACCTTGCGCCTGCCGAGCAGGTGCGGCGCCACTGAGCTACACCCCAGCCCCACATCTCTATTCTTTTTACTGCTCATCCCCTTGCCATTTGCACTTTACTGGGGAGGTCGGGCTTGCTGAGCGTGGATGGGGCTCGGTCCCTCAAGAGCAAAGGATGGCAAAGGGCGCGGGTGAGTTAGGGGCACAGGGCTGTCACCCACTCCCGTTTCCCAGGTGGTTTGGTGCTGCTCCCTGAGCGTGGCTCAGGACACTATGAAGAGGGTCCTTTGAGAAGGGGTCGCCACTGAGGAGATGTGGCAGGCAGTGGCCCCTGGTGCAGGACAGCAAGAGAGAGCCTCAGGCCTGGGGCCTGGAGACCCCAAAGCCTCTGCAGTTCTCCATGGACCCTCAAATACCCAGGCGCACCAGCGCGAGGCCAAGCCAGCCCAGGCTGGGCCACCAGTCAAGGTCACACAAGGAGCCCTGAGCTCCTGTGGGGCGTCCATCCCAAGGGTGGGAAGGCGTGGCCTGTGGAGGACCCCCGGGAGGGTGGGGAGCGATGGGGTGATCTCATCCGCACCCTCACTTTGCAAAGGAACAACCGAGGACTGGGAAAGGGGGTGCAATAGGCAGGGGGGGGTGACAGGGGAGGCAGAGAAGCCCGAAGTGGGGCCTCAGACTCTGGGCCCAGGGCTCTCCCCTTCCAGCTGCACCCTAAACTGAAGGCCACTTTCTGGGCCACTTTCCAGTCCCAGCAGAGCCCAAGTGGGGAGGGAGTGAGGAGAGGCGCTGAGAAGGCTTCCCTGAGGAGACAGGAGTTGGGGGGCCGAGGAGGCTTCTCAGCGCCTCTCCCACCCAACACACGTGAAGCACACAACACAGGCAGGAGTTTTGTTTCCAAATGTCCCTTCTCTGGGGAGCTCGCTGTTTCCCAGGAGACGCCTGGTGGAGATGCCCCTTCCTGCCGGCCTCCTTGGCAGCCACTAGGCGGCTGTGGCTTCCTTTTCTGCCTGGAGACACCACAGCGAGGGGCCCACGCGGCTTGTATTAATAGGAAGTGGCGCTGAGGGGCTGAGGACAGGGCAGCCGGCTGGGCGTGGCCGGTGGGGAGACTGAGGGAGCTGTACACAGGGCCACATTGGCCAAGAGTCTGTGCGGCCTGGCCCGGCCCTGTCCATGCACTGACCTGCCTCTGCTTCCTGCAGGGAAACACCACTCCCTGGCATCTCTCTTCCCAAACTGGGAAGTTTCCTATTGTGATGAATATAAAAATAACGCATGATTATTGTAAAAATAGGTAATCCCGGCCAAAGGGAATGAACAAAAGCCCCAGACTCACATTCTAGGATCTGTCTTTTCCATAGGAAGTAATTTGCTTCTGGCTGAAAACTCCAGGGCAAGAGTGCCGTATTTGGAAAGGAGGGGAGACACTGGAGACATGGTGACACTGTGGAAGGTTCTAGAACCTGAGAGGTCGCGCTGCAGTAAACATCCTCATCCCGGAGAGGCTGCTGTGCACATCTGGCTGTCGCCCCGTAGAAGGTCAGTGGGGTCACAGTGCAGCTCTCTCTACCCCATCTATGTTCACTCCACTCCCGTCTGCTGGGGCTACCTACCGTCCTGCCCCTACAGCTTGGAAGAATAAACGAATGAACTCACAGAAGAGGGAACAGGCCTGGATGGATACTGAGTGCAAGTATGACCTCAGTCACGTTCAGGAACAAAAACTGCCAGAGGTCTGGGGGGAAATGGCCCGAAATTCTCCACCGTGTCCCTCTTTCCAGGGCTGAGTGGGGCTAAACTTGGAGCTGTTCGAATGGGTCAAGGCCACAGAAGAAATGTCCCTGGACAGGACGGGGCCCGTGGGCGGGGAGGCCCGTAGCCGGGGTGGGCATGGGGGCAGCAGGATGCGGGTGTAGGTATCAAGCCTGAGCTATGCTGTGGGGGAGACCCAGGGCAGTTTGGCCCCTGGACCTGGACCAGGGGGCAGCATGGGCTGGGGACTCACCTCCCTCCGGGAGCCCCCAGAAGAGCACAGGGATGAGGGCAGCCCCTCAGCTCCCCTTCTGCTCCTGGCCAGAGAACTTCGGTAGAGTCCTGAGGTCCACACATCACCTGTTCTCCCAGGGAACCGCTGACAAACCCGAGATCTCAACCCTGTTGTGCGGCCGCATAAACCAAGGCCGGGAAAGGCAAAGCGACTTGTCAGGTCACAGGCCAGGTGGCAGAGCCAGGAAGCCATCCAGTCCCAGGCCAGGCCTGGGCTTTGGGGCGGGGGCCCCTCCTCCCGCCTCCCCTGGGCACTGTACCGAAGGGGACGAGGCTGGCGTGGCCCTGCCCGGCCGTGACCGTCGTTCCTCGCGATGTCACCTTTTCCCGCCTGCCCGGCGCCCGCCGCCTCAGTTCTCCGTCCACCCCGCGCTCCTTCTGCACCCCGGCCCCGCACGTCCACCGGGCGCCCGGGAAGCGGCCCGCAGATCCCGCCCCGCCCTCCTCGGCCCGGGCCCCACGGTGTCGGGAGCAGGAGGAATCAATCAGGATAATGAAGCCGCAGCCTGCCACGCGCCGCGGGGGCCCGGGAGCGGGGCCCGTGCCAAGTCCGCCAGACGGTTCGGAGCGGCCGAGCCCGCGCGGCCGGGAAGTGGCGGCGGCGGCGGCGGCGGCGGCGGAAGCGCGCGCAAGGCCCAGACGCCGCCGCGCGCAGCCACTGGCAACCGCGCCATGGCAACCGGACGCCCGGGAGGAATCTTAAAGCCGCAGCGCCTCCTTTCCCGTCGCCGCCCGTTCCCCAGGGGAAGGCGTCCTATAGAGGAAGGTTCAGAGCGGGAGTCAGGACTTGGGGTCTGACTCGCACCCTCGTTCGTGTTTATCGGATGCGTATCGGGCCTGCGAGGCCAAGCGCGGGCCAGACGCCGGGGAGGGGAACGGGCAGTGATTAAAACATGAACAAGATCCTGCCAAGAAGAGTTCACAGTCTAGCGCGCAAGGCAGACCAGGCTGGCGAGGTGAGCAGGAGCCGCGCTCTCCAGGACGAGGGGCTGTGGCTGCAGGGCTGAAGGGCTGTCACAGACTACTGCGGCAGCACCTGCCGCTCCAAGGCGTGGCCAGTCGCTGCTTTCGGGGGCTGCGATTGATTCTGCTCTGTCGCCCTTTCCCCCCAGCAGCCTGTGAGGTGGGCCTTCTCCCTATCACGGCTATCCATCCCATTTTAGAGATGAAGAATGAGAGGCCCGGAGAGATGAAAAGTCTCAGCCAAAAATCTCATTTTACTTTTTTGCAGAACCCAGGACTAGGTCACAGGACCTGGGCTGCTGGCCAGCTTCCACTGTGCTTACCTGAGAGGATTAGACCCGAGAGGGGACTTCCCGATAGGAATGAAGTGAGACTGGAGAAAGGGCAGCTGAAGGAAGAGGCGGCCACCGTGTCCTTCTGTGCACCAGCCTGACCCTGTCTGTCCCTGTCCCCAAACGCAGGCCTGGATGTGGGCAGAGGGCATAGAGAGGTGACCTCCAGATGTCCCTCTGCTTCTGTGATCTGCTAGTTCCTGCCTGAAGTCTAGGCACTGTGCCACCCTTCTGGGCATCGGCAGGTGGCAGGGGCTGCAAACTAGGGGGATTCCAGGCTTTTGAAAAAAGAGTCAGAGTTGGAGGGGATTAGAGAGAGGGGTAATGCAGGGGCTTTGGTAGGAGAAAGCTCGAGTCGGTATCATTGGAGCCTGGGACTCACCCTCCCACTCTCCACCTACCTGTCTATTGCTGCATGTCCACTCGGGCAAGAAATCTGTTCCAGGCCTGCAGTAGGCTCAGAGGCTGTTGGTAAGACAAAGAGCAAGCAGGTTTTGGGGCCAAGGTCATCTGATCGTCAGCTATCGTCTGCCAGCTATGTGATGTTTAGTGGTTAATTCAGTCTGCCTGAGCCTTGGGTTCCTCATCTGTAGGATAGAAGCATTCATGTCCACCTCTCAGGGTCATCGTGAGACTTAAATGATGAGAAAAAAAGTATGGCCACATTTGCCATATGGTAGAGTTAACAACTGGGGTAAATTTTAAAACGTTGCTGGTTATTTTGGTAATCTGATAATACCCAAAAGCTCTGTCCAGCCTGTGATTCCAGCACTCAGGAGGCTGAGGCAGGAGGCCTGGGCCATGTCCTGAGTACAAGGCCAGCCTGAAAATCACAGCAAGACCCTGCCTCAAAAAAAAAAAAAAAATCTGTCCATGCCCTCATCCTCAGGACCTGTGAATGTTAATTTATCTACAAGAAGGGCTTGTGCAGATGCCATTAAGGATCTTAAGATGGGGCCATTATTCTGGATTATCTAGGTGGGCTCAGGACTGAGGCAGGGAGGGCATTCTGGACAAGGGCATGTGTGCCTTCAGGAAACCGCCCAAGTTTGGGATGCAGGTCCACAGCAGTGTGAGGCGGGCATGACAGAGCTGAAGTGGGTGGCAGGGGCAAGAAAGCCAAGGACCTTGGCTTCCACCCAGAATAGAATCAACCCCTCTGCCCTGCACTGCACTGGGCTCCAGATCTCAGGCCCCCAGACTGCCAGTGCTGGAAAGAAGCCTGCGATTCCATCCGGTATGCCCTTGCTATTTCACGTGTAGGGAAACTGAGGTCCACAGCAAATAGTTCATCCAGAGAAGAAGCTAGAGCCATTTGGCCACACTGTATCCTCTCCTAAGCCTGGCTGTCCCATGTCTAGGGGTGTCAGGGATGCTGCCTGGAGGCCCCTTTGCAATCTACTTCCAAAAAGCACAGGCCTTGTGGTCTTCCGAACAAAGAGGGTGTAATTTGCATATTATTTGCATGTTGCTAATTAGATGAGAGGCAGAGTCATTCAGCGCCTGCCCTTCCTTTCCCCATCCCATCTTACTCACATGGAGTTCCACTTCCTCATCTATTCCTTGACTGTGACACCCACCCCGAAATCCAGTCCATGCCTCACCTCCCAAGTCCCCTTCCCTGTTCCCCCTACTCTGTGAGGCTTGGTCCTGGCTGGGGAAGTTGCCTGGTGGTCTTCAGTGTATGGAGTCTGTGTGGAGGATCCTGGAGTAGGATCACAGAGGAAAGGGATGATGGTTTTCCCAGCTCCAAGTTTTCTCTGGGAACAGGGAGCAGTGAGCTCTGTCTCCCTGTGGCCCAGAAATCATCTGAATGGGGCCATAGCAGTGGGGAGGATGGCACTCCTTGGGGATCTGGTGGGCAGGTGCCAGCTGCATGCTCCAGGCCTGCCCCAAGCCTCTTGGCTGGCGGCCACACTAACCCTTGAGGGGCTGGCTACTTCTTTGAGAGAGGAAGAATCTTGGGGAAGGCCTGGGAGCACTTCTTGGCCTGGAAGCTCAGGGTCGGATTAAGGTCACTGTGTGAGTTACTGCGGAGCCTTCCAGTGGGGACAGCATGTCCAGATTCTTGAGGCTGCCATCCACCAAGAGAATTGTGAAATATTGTGCTGAAGCAAGGATGATGTCTCCTGGAGAGTAGGCACTACATATTCTCTGATAATGAGGGGCCACCTGTCTCCTGGAGATGAGTAAGGAAAAGGGGTCACAGAGAGGCACAGGCTGCGCCCAGCACCCTTTGCGGGTGAGATGTCTGAGCCCTTCGCCTGGTGGTCACCAGAGGAGGCACCGGACTGTGGCCAGGACAGGTATTAATTAATGACCTCAGACGTTTCCTGCTTTGATCCTGGGCTCCATCCCCACAGCTGACTCAAAGTGGCTGCCAGGAACTGGGAAATTAGGATCCCTGGAAAACCCCAGGGAACAGTTCAGGCTGGCAATGTACAGAAACCAAGTTACTCTTCATTAGGACAGTGGCTCAGAAATTAGGAAGCAAGACTACCCTGAGTGGGACGAATTCCTCTCATGCAGGGGTGATCTGTGAGCTTATGTGGATTCATGCTATGGGGGTCTCAGCTAGCACCCAACCAATCCCAGGCACTAATGTGTGCACACGGCCACACACATGTGAGGTATATGTTGTACACAAGTGTTTTTGTGGAATTCTACCTTCTCTCTCCCTGTTTCCAGGTGTAATGGGAAGTGAAAGGTCCTCAGTTTCACCATCCCCAGCCCTGCTGCCCTGCCCATGACACCAGGCGGTGGGTCCCTCCTTGGTCCTGGACCCCAGCTCCCTTCTGGTCTAGATAACCCCAGCTTGCATCCCATCTGTCCTGGTTGCTCCCTGTTCCCTCTGTGTCTCAGGCCAGCACCCCATCTAGTGTCCAAACCAAAGGGAGCAATGAGGGGAATTCGGGGTGATGCTATGAGTGTGGGAGGAAGAAGGGGAAATCAGATACTGTTCGATTTTGCCTGGGTCCCCTCGGAACACTGCTGCTCATTTAAAATTCCGATTTAAAGCCGAGCGGCTCTTTAAATTTCCACATTAGCATGCCGCCCTGATGCCAGGCCAAGATGTTGGGATGGATTTGGCAGGAACGCCTCCAACAGCGGCAAGCAGCAGCAGTTGCCAGCAATAAAACAACACATGAATAAAAGAAGGCCGCTTGGCAGCAGCAGCGGCCCAGGTAGCTGGGTAAGCCCAGGAGAGGCTCTCTTGTGCGGAGGCTGGGAGGCGTGAAGGCCAATGCAAGCGCCTGTGTGAGCACCGGCCTCTGGCTTTCTGGGCCCGTACCCCATCCATGCCTGCAGTGGAATGTGGGGTGAAGGCCCAGGCAAGGATGGGGTTTCTCCCTTGTACCCGTTTCTCCCCCTCCCTCCAGGGTTATCTTCTTGGAGGGGACAGATGTTGCCTTTGATGAGGACACAGGACTTGGCCTGCAGCCTGAGTTCTCCTGCGTTAGTGGGGGCCCGGAGAACAGGTGGGGTCAGAGAGAGAAACATTCCCTGGAACCGCTCCAGATTCATGACCCCAGATATTAGGGTACCTTCAGGGGAAAGAGCCCGGGTGAGAGGCCGCCTGAGGACTGGGAATTGGCATTGAGCTGCTGACACTGTCTGCATGTTGGTACCAGGTTTGGGATGGAGCAAGAGTTACCAGCCCAGCCTGACCAAACACTGCTTTAAAGAGTGAGAGAGCAAGAAGTGACCAGCCCGGCCTGACTTTAATTCCCTTTGGACTTGGGAATGTTGTTTGAGGTCAGACAGCAAGGGCAGCAAAGAAGTCAGCCAAAGCCCTGGGTTGGAGGCTGGACACCTCCTAGAGGGCACCTTGTGCCCTGGGGCTGCTGTTCCCGGATCTTGTGTTCTCTACTCTGGGCGCCTGGTGTGGCTCAGCGCTCAGCTCACCGGGCATTTCGAAGAGCAAGCACCCCGTCCTGCTCCGGGGGAAACCGACTGTCCCTCCCACTGGGTTTAACCAGCTCCTTGTCGAAGCCCAGGGAAAGGACAGCAGCAGACAGAGGGGTGGCAGCAGATGGTCTCTGCAGTCTTGGCTTAGGCAGAAAAGAGGGATTTTCTTCAGAGCACCCTTCTCTGATGGAACTCCCCTCCCTTCCAGCTCACGTGAGTGGCTTCGGGCCTGTGCATGGGGAGAAGCTCGGGGACTGCATCCTCCCAGTCCCCGTGGGAGCTGAGCAGGCAGGCGGGGCTCAGCTCTGCAGGACAGGCTCCACACCCTTGAAGGAGGGTTGGCCCTGTCTGACGTTTTCTCTGGGGACAGTG